TGTGCCTCCCTCTTTTTCCCCTTCTTTCTTTTATCCAGATACATTCCTTATGGAATGACTGAGTTTTTCCTGTAATTTGATTGATTCAACCAGGTGTACTTGGACTTGAAAAAAGAAAGTGAGTTCTCTCAGAGCCAGAGATTGGAAGGGTGTGGAAAGAGAGAGGAAAGAGTAGGAACCTTCAAAGGCAAGCTAGAAAGATCATCTCAGGGGGAACTGCCGGGCAGGGGCAGGTGCTTGGCGCAGTCTAGGGGAGGAGTGATAGCCATGTGAGGGGAGACCAGGGGAGAGAGATGAGATCTGTTCATGGAATTTAAAATGACAGAATTTGGCACCCGATGAATTGAGTGAGAACCCTGAGGCACAGGTCTCACAGCTAGACGTTGTGCTAAGGGAATACAAGGAATTATTGTTTGCCCTTCATTCTCGAAAAGGACCATGACATCAGTAAGGTGATGCCATGACATGCAAGTGAATTGGATTGAAGTGAGGAGGACTGTGCAGAGTCACCAGGCTCACTTTCTGCTCTAGAGCTGATGGAGTTGGAGTTGCTGGGAACCCCAGAATGTCAGGGTACAGGAGAGTCCACCTGGAAAGAATTCAGGCACCCAAACTGTCCTGCAGTCAAAGTGGCAAGGTCTGTTGTAACGCCAGTAGAAGTGGGCTTGCAGATAAAAGGCACAAAGGGGAAAAGTAAACAATAGAATTGTGCAATTCATAGATGAGTCTCATTCTGTTCCTCTGGAAACATCTGATGTAATCCTAAGGTCTGGGTGTGGTCTCAGAGCACTTCTTCTCCAGCTCAGGTCATAGTACAAATTATCTTCTCCGCTAAAAATTTCCAATAAAATTGTCTTAACATTATTTTAAATTTACTTTGCCAATAACCAGGTCAGATAATGAAAGTTAGCTCAAACCTTATGTTTATTATTAGAAAATAAAATTTGGAATCTTTTAAACCAGGGAATTTACATTTTTAGGTTGGCCAATTTTCATGCTGAGATATATATAGGAAACTCATATATAAACAGAAAATTAGAACTCAATATTTATACTTGGCATTATTAATTTCCCCATTAGGAGAATGAGATTCCACTAAGGAATTAATAAACACTTTTTATAAGAAGAAGGATTATACTAGAAAAATAAATTCGTTTAAAAATTGCCAGATTAATTTCAGCTGTAACAAAAGGTTCTGGCATAGGATATGTAAATACATTGAGTAATTAATTTTAAAACAGTGTATATGAAGTAAGTTATTTATAATAAAACATTGTCAGCTTCTAGCTATGTTCAAATGAATAACTCATAACAAAAGTGGATGTCTTTTTAAGGCATTTACAAGATAGACCACAGGCCATTCTTCTTCTAAGACAACTATCTGCACTGATATTCCTTTCCTTAACGTGGAACAGAGACAGTTATGATAATCACTAAATAACAGAATTGTATCCTGGTTTCACAAGTTTTTGCATCGTTTGCCTAATTATCCCCATACCGTTGTGAGAAATTAAAGAAATCTAACTTACACAGGAATTTATAGCTAGTAACAGATGTCAAGGCTAAATACTTAGTTGTTTAGAATATGGAAAGAACTAAATTTCTAGGCTAAAGAGCTCAAATCTTATATCTGCATCTTACTATTGTTACTCAGATGTGTTTCAGAATTAGCCTATAAGATAAAGATTTAATATTGTATTCATACTGATCATCTGATATGATTATAGAAATTTTCCATCAAAGAATAGAAACATAATGGAAAATGGCCCCTTGAAGTTAATTCCAGGCAAAAGTTATTGTAGATAACCAGTTTCATTGAGCCAGTATTAAAGTCAGGCAGGTGGGATATTTTCCATTCCAGAGGAAATGTCATACTGGAAGAATAGAGTCAGGGAAATCCTACCTCAGTCAATGCCAAAAGTCATTCCCCCCCAACCTTTTTTCCATGAGAACTCCACCTGCAGTTCATGGATGTAAAACCCTAGAAAATTGTTAGCGTCATCAATTCACTGGCTCAGTAGCATTCCTTGATGATCATACCTAGAGTCAAACTCAGAATAATATCAGTTAGCAGTCCCATGAGGTCGCAAGTTCCAATAATCAGAGCTTCAGGTGGATTCAGCTCTCAAGGATCATGTATCCTAGATAACAAGTATTGATTATATTCTCACATTGGTAACAGTAAGATATTCATCACAGAAAAATTACATCTTGATATAACTAGAACTCATGCTAAGTAGATTTTTTTCCCCTAACTGATTTTGCCTTAAGATGGTATTTAATAGCAAATAACAAAAGATTTGGGTTGTATAAATATAATCCAAATTGTTACACAGAGAACAGATTATATGAAACATTGTCTAGAGTAAAACATGTTCAGTTATTAACCACATTCAAATAGCCATAACATAGACTACTGCTCTCAGAATCCTGTTACAACTTGGGAACATCTTTAACGTGACTCTTAAGTAGTTTGCATGCATTTCTACACAGGTTCTAATCCCAGATTAAATAAAAGACAAGTAAAATCAGATTTCCCGCTAAGGTGACACAAGATAGCTCCTAAATTACTACTCTTCACTAACATAACTGTCTGTACTAAAATTTTATTCCTTAAAACAAAAACAAAAGAGGTTCCTGACTTTAACCTCACAACTTAATAGATTTACATCTTTGCTTCACAAGCTTCTCTGCCTTTGTCTAATTATACTTATATTATTCTGAAAGAATGAGATAGTTCAGAAACTGAATCTTTACATATGACAAGTTCAAGCACTAATTTAACTCTTGCTTAGGCCATGGCATGACAATAAATTCAGGTCAAAACAACAAGATTTTCCCACTTACAGCTTATTACAGTAATTCAGATGCTTTAGTACTAATTTAATAACTAATAGACTCAGTATTGCAATGGCAATCCTACACTTTGTCTATACCCTGAGA